CCGCGTGTGCCTGACACTGACGGTTGGGACGCCACTTGTTTTTTGATCCGCCAGCGGGCCGCCCAGGCGTTGGCGGAATACATCTGTTTGGCCCCTTGAACCGCGGATAGGCCCAAGTTGGGCCGTCCGAAAACTACTAAGCTTCAGGCTGCTCTCGCACACAGCTCGCATTGCTTAATTAAGACTGGCCGAAAGTGAACTTGTGCGCTTTGTTCGGGGATCTTCCCCTCGGTTAGAGTGCTGGAGGCGAGTGACAAGCCCTGCCCAGCCGTTGATGTCGGCTCGGCTCAGGATGCGTTCGGCCACGGGATCGTTCGGGCGAGTGGGGCGGTGACGGTGGAGGTGGTGAGCTTCATCCGAGCCACTGTCTGCACTTTTGGCCTGAGCCTTCACTTTACTTCTGCTGCGTGTAGCCGTACAGCCACCGTGGCTCCCAGGCAGTTACACACCGCGGCGTGTCGTTCGGGAGTGCACCGAACACTCCAAGAAGGGGCTGGAGAATCTCCCGAGAATTACAATCGGACTTGATTGGACAGGACACGCGAGAGGACACAAGACCCTTCCGAGTGTCACATCGCCACAGGAATGCAGGAGGCATGGGTCGTGAGACACAGGACACAAGGGCACCTTTGATTTGGCAGGATCGACCTACTAATCGGTGCCGACTGTAGAAGGGGCTTGTTCCCAGGCTACAGGAGCCGAGCCCAACGGCCCCCGTTTTGGAGGCCGCCACCTGCCGTGTCCGGCGCGACCGGGCGCGTCGGATGTTTCCAGGTGCCCTGCAGGGTCTTTGGCCACGTGGACTGTGAAGCCCAGGACACTCCAGGACACTCCTTCTCCTCCTCCTCCTCCTCCTCCTCCTCCTCCTCCTCCTCCTCCTCCTCCTCCTCCTCCTCCCACCAAAGAATGGGGACTGGCCCAGAGGGGGGAACATCGACCAAGAATCGGCAGTGCGTCGCCGATAGGTCGGCGTTGGGCACCCGATGGCGAATCCGCAGGTTTCCTGGGAGGGATGGGTCTATCGGGCCCGTAACGGCGATGAGTGGGCGTCGGGGGGTCGACGCCTCCTGAGCCTACATCCCCCACGAACGCTGCCCCTGACCTCCCTCCCCTCCCCCCCCAGGCCGCATCCTCGCGGCGCCCTCGCGCTCCCGAGCAGAGGGACGAGCTGTGTGACCGACCATGGACCCCTTGGTGCCCGTCGGCCCTGGGCGGTCTCTGGCGGTCTTCGTCGGCCTTCGGACCGTCTCCCGCCCCCGCTGGGAATAATGAAAAGCAATACCCTCACCACCAGGGCGAGGAGCCCAGAAGAAATCCTCCAGGTGGTGTGGTCCCGCCTCCCCGCCCGAGACATCCCCGCATCCACTGGCGGGGGAGGAGGCATCATGGATCTCCTCGCTGGAGGCGGCACCCCTGGGTGTTGGCGGTGCCGCTTTTCCATCCTCCGACTCGCGGCGCCCTCGCGCTGCCGAGCGAAGGGAGGAGGAGGCAGAGAAAGAAACATAATGAGGATGGACAAAATCCCCTTCAGTAAAACGTAGTTTCGTGGAAACGACCTCGGGCCTAAACCTGGCGGGCGCAGGCCTGGAAAATGACGGCCGCGGTGCCCTCTCGAGAACCGAAAACTGACAGTTCACTAATCGACGTGGCTGGGTGGGGGTCTGTCCACACCCGATACGAGCAACCCGCGCCCACGTGCCGCGAGGCCCCAAGTGCAGTGTCCCCAGGTCCCTTCGAGTTCTCAGTGTTCAGGATTGTGGGCTTGCTCGGCTAGCTGCTAGGCCTCGAACGACAGCAGTACATGATCAGCATGGCCAGCCACGGAGTTTGTTCACGCATATAAGAACATCTGGTGTTTTACTGCCGTATCGTCACAACGCGAGGCCGTGCGCAGCGCAGAAATGAGCTAGGCCTTCATCTTTCTCTGAGGCAGGAAAACAAGCTGGGGCCATTCTGATCCCGAGGCTTCGGTTGAGAGACTCGAGCTAAATTTGGGTTGTTGAGTACTGCTGCCCGCAAACATCAAAGTAGTGAAAAGCGGCGTCGCCTCTCGAACGATCCACGCCCATCCCACGACCTGAGATCCAGCACGGTGGCCGCTATCAGACGACGGCAAGGAATCAGTATCAAGTACGAGATGCTGTTAGAGATGACTGGTGCAGCCTAGATGCAAGACGGTATTATCCATACAATGGTTCACGATCAAATCGGACTCTAAGCTCGCGCGTTCCAAGAACTCCCGGGCGCTCTTGAGACATTTCTGGCGACCCTTCCCGAAGTCATGAATCATGGAACAACAATACGTTCTGAATATTTCATACCCAGGAGAAGGGATTACCAGCTGGCCGCCCCCACGAACCCTCTCGTGCAAAAATTACCCCCGAGATCGCCACGAAGCCCAGACCTGCGACCCGCATTCTGGTTGGGCACACTGGCGGGACTGACCGAAGGTCACTAGATCCGCGGACCTCTTTTTTGGTGCCTGGCGAGCCATCTTTGTGAGGACTTTTCCTGTTTGACCCCCTCCAACCAGCTCGCAGTGGGGTCTCGGCGCACCCCCCCGGCCACACGGGTGGATCTTGGCCAAGTGTCTTCCGCCGGCTTTCCCGCCCAAGACGGTCGCAAGAGGGCCTCCAAGACGGCCCTGAGGGCCTCCAACAGAGGGAAGCCAATACAGCGACTCCCCAAACTTCTACTGGGGTGCATTCTAACCAGAATTTCAAGGAGAATCCAGGAGGCCTCTCCAATACGAGCAGCGATATCGGAGATCCAACGTTGCGAAAAAAATGCAACATCACGAAAAAGCACGACCAGAACACTCGACCACATCTTGCTGCGGCATTTTTCGAGCTGGATCCACCTGTGATGGCTCCGTGGCTCAAAAGCGGGCGAAAAAACACCCAGCGTGACAAAAATCGCAAGGCCAGGATCTCGTGGTTTCCCTCCTCTGCCAAGACTGCCCCGATGGCCCAGATGGCTCCAAGACGGCCCCAGCTGGCCCCAAGATCGGCAGCGAGCCCCGGGGAGGAGGTGAGAAGGGGCAGGCCTTCACAGAAGGCAGCGGGGCTTCTCAGAAACCCTCCAGCCTTCTGAGAAGCCGCCTCTTAAGGAACCGAACTCTATACACCGACGCTTTTTCCGGCCCCGCACTGGAACTCGCACAGGAAAGCGGATCCTGGTGTATACGGGATCCTGGTGTATACATTTTCCGTTGCTTCCACGCGAAAATGGGGAAACAAGTATACACCACACCACCCCGACGTCGCCCCCGACCCTCAAAAGTTCCTGGGATTGCAAAACAGCCCGCCACGGGTAACGTATATGCTCCAATTTCCGACCTCTGCCTTCGGAGAAAACTCAGATCGGGAATCTTCTGACCCGGGTCAATCCAAACTCGGTTCAGTCAAGCCTTGCAGAATCCTGCAAAATACTGCAAGATCCTGCACCCAGACCCGAGTCAATGCGAAGGATCCTGCAAGATCCTGCAGGATCCTGCCCCCAAACCCGGGCCAATGCGACCCTGGCCCTGCAGGACCCTGCAAGACCGGGCGCTCTGGCTGACCCCCGGTTGCATTGACCCCCGTCTCTCGAGCCCCGATCAGAACGCTTCTCAGACGGCCGGAGGCCTTCCGCGCCCGAGCCTTCTGAGAGGGCCCGCCCCCTCTGCCTTCTCTTCGGTCGGGCCTGTCCCCCTACAGGGGGATTTTGGGCGAAACATGAAGAATGCTCCAAAAATGCCCCCAGATGGTCAAACAAGAATCAGAAAAGCGTCCCCCGACTATTCTTCTTACTGTCGTGGCATATCCCCCCTGTAAAGGGACAAGCCCGACTTAAGCCTTCTCCCCCGGGCTCGCCGCCGACGAGGGGGGCCCGCCTGCGGCGCGCCCCCGCCCGCAGGACTGCGGGGGGGCGAACGCTGCAGCCGCGGCGACGAGGGCCCTCCGAGAGGACCTCGGGCTCGCCATCGCTCGGACGTCCCTGCCCCGTGCACTTTTTCGGTCTCGTGCGCGTCCTGGCCATCGCTCGGACGTCCATTCCCTGTGCTTTTTTCGGTTTCGTGCGTGGCTTTTTCGCCAAATGATCAAGGATGCTCCTCGATGGTCCTCGCCGAAGGGAAAAAAGGCACACGTCCGAGCGATGCCAAGTGCGTGTTTTGTTGGCCCGGTGGTCGAGCGATGCCGAGCGAGGGGCGGAGAACGTCCACACATCGCGGGCGTGGCGGAGAAATCACTACCAAAAATCGTTCGCTGTTTTCGGCCTCTGGGGGCCCTCGCAGGGCCCCGAGGCCGCCGAACAGCGACTCGGGATGGAAAGGCGCTCCCTGGGAAGAGGTCGAGACATGGCGGGGGTCCACGTCATGAAAAAATCACGTCGGGAGTCTGGGAGTGCATCCATGTCCACGCCCTCGCGGCCTGAACTCCCAGGCGCGATCGCGTGAATACGCGGTCGCATGGACACGTTCCGCGCGGTGCGTCTGCGGAACAAAAACCATATCCACGGGGTCGTGGCCCAGGGTGACCGCCCCGCGAGGCCGTGGAACGGACATTCGGTGGCAACTCATGGGGACCACCCGTACTATTTTGTCGGCTTTTGCTACATCGACGCTACATAGACGCTACATCGACGCTAAATTGACGCTAAATCGACGCTAACCGACGCTAAAGAAGGGATTGAGAGGGTATACCAGGCTGCCATGATTTGTTGCCGAATCCGCCCACGAGCACTCACTTGCAGCAGCACGAATAGAACACGGCGGACAACGGCATGGCCAAGAGGGCCCAAACTGTGTGGTGACAGACGGTGCGGTGACCTCGGAGCCCCAAGAGACCTCACCGCACAATCCGTCACCGCTCGGTCTTGGGACCCTGGAAGCCCCTGTCACCCGAGACATCCTTGGAGAGAGACTCGAATCCCAAAACCGTGCGGTGACCCCGAATCTCCACCGACTCACCACACGGTGTGGTCACCACACCGTTTGGGGATCCCCGACCACGGCCTGCCTGTTCTCCGACTGGATCCGGAAGGAGCTCCCGCCGACGTGCTTGAACTGCGACGCGGCGCGAGGCACGGTATGGATCGGCGGCGAACGAGGGGGTCAAGGTGAGAAGGAGGAGGGGAAGGAGGAGGAGGAGGAGGAGGAAGAGGAGGAGGAGGAGGAGGAGGAGAAGAGGCGGAGGAGGAGGAGGAGGAGGAGGATGATAATAATCAACGCACTCCCGGTTCCTGTCTCCCCGCTCCCGGTTCTCAGTTCCCGGCTCCTGGTTCCTAGTTCCGGGTTCCCACCTCCCGGCTCCCAGCTCCCGGCCCCGGGTTTCTGCATGCATGACTCCCGGTTCCCAGCTCCTGGTTCCCAACTCCCGGCTCCCAGCCCCGGGTTCCTGCATGCATGGTTCAGTTTGAAGGGGGCTGGGGGGCCCAGCCAACAGCTTCGCCGTAGTAGCGATAGCCCCTGTAGGAGAGGATGTGCCATCTGAAGCAATAGGAAGATCATTTAGGTCTCGATAGCGATTGTGTGCCTCGTGATGGGGCGCAGTCATATTTGGGCGGCCGGCCGCTTGAGCCGACGCGGCCGCGGGCACACGCTAGCTTCCGCTCCTTACATCCCTCAGCTCGCTTTAGAGTTGGGGGGGAGGGAGACGAAACGTGAGCCCGTCGCCCCTATACAGCAGGCGCAGCGGCTAATATACACAAGGACAGAGAAAGGGGCGGGCCAGAAGGACGGTGGGCCCGCTCGCAAGTTGCCTTGCTTGTGCAGTTTTGTACTTGAAGAACTCCTCAGGCGGCGTCAGAATTGGATGTCTGGCCGGCCCGATATGGAGCATGACTCTTCAAGTCATGCTTGAAGGCCTGTATCCCTCCCGTGACTTGTAGGAGCATTTCTGTGTCGATGCTCCCCTTGGTGTGACCATCCGCGGTCATATCGCGGGTGTCGCACCACTGGATGCTGTGCACGATTCCACGTTCCATCATCTGTCGTATCCAACTGATGTGTCCTAACAGGGTACACTCATTCGGCTTCTTCAAGTCTTTGCTTGACAAGGACTTAAAAACAAACTCAGCATATATGGTCAAAGTGACCTTGATGCTCAATGCTCAGGCCACCCAACTCAAGTACATATTTCAACTTAGTGGGCGCGAGCGGCCCTGCGTGGAGCTCGTGCAGAGCCACAATCGTGGGATAACAGTCCTCCGAATTATGGGCTGCTGCTACTTACTGTCTCTGCTGAATAGCTCGATCGGACCTGCAAGCGGTGAGACTTGCAGTGCGCATCGATCAAGTGAACGACAGGTTTACCGGATGACGTGTTCCCACGTCGTAGCAAGTTTGCCCCGCGAATGCCATAGCCTTTGACGTCGTCGTCGGCGTCTCCACTCAGGCGTCGGCGTCCTGAGTCGCGATGCAGGTCGACCTCGCCCGTGGGAGTCATCGCCTGGTAGACGATCTTATTTGGGCAAGCCTGTAACTTCCTGGTGATCGCGTTCAGTCGTCGCACTTGGATGTTGGTCGGTTCATGGACACGTTGTAGAGATACAACATACACCATCAAACACACCTGGGTGATTAATGCATACGCCAGCGCGCCCCTGCGGCTGACGAACATGTCTGAAACCATCTTGGATGCGTGAGCGTCAGCGTCAAGGCCGGTAAGTTCAGGATGTTGTATAGGACGGGGCTGTTTGATATATTCATATGGGTCCGAAGTGGCATTGCCGCCCTCATCCTCGGTGTATATCACAGCACAATTGGGGCACGTGTGCTTGTTGAGTTCTCACTTACCAAAAGTGTCTTCTACGCGCTTGACACACTTGTCAATGGTGTCCTCAAGGCCGGCCATATTGATATCATCAACGCGTTTGGCCGTGGGCAAGTTGTTGCTCGTCTCGAACTCCTCGTCGCAGGACGTGGGTCGGAGACCAAGACCTCTGGTGGCCCTACTGAGCTTAAGTGAGAGAGCCCGCGGTGCGTCTTTGGTGCCCGCGCCTGGTTTCAAGCACAGCAGGCAGTGCTTCGACTCATCGTAGTGTTCGAACCCTGGGGGAGTTCGGAGCACTGCGGCCGATCCAGGCGGCAGAGTAAAACACGCACCGCGTTCCTTCTCAACAGTAGCCTCAACAAGTTCCTGACCCCTTCAGGAAGGCCACTTTGATGTCGAGGGAAGCAATGATCCATTGTTTCTGGCACGCTGCCGTGCTGGCGAGTAGCCTCTGGCTTGACCGTCGCGCAGTTCCCGAAAAGGTTTCTACGTCGAAGGCTTCAAGGTCCATGCAACCTCGGAGTGCAAGGCGACGTCTGATGGTATGTTAAATCTCGCCCTTCCCGTTCTTCACGAACTTCCATGTGCACACGTATCTCGAAGGCATGAGGTTTGACGCTTTAGCTATATCTTGCATATTGAAACACTTGTTGTCGAACCACGTCTTGAATCCATTGTTGAGGGCCTGCGATGCGCCTGGATGTCAACTTTCGCGAGGAAGTCGTCTTCCGTGACGACCGCCGCTCGCTTTGCAGCGGCGGTTACGTATACTCGCATAGTGATCACACGAGCGGCATCCAGTATCATATGTTGTTGTTCGGACAAGACTACCTTTAACATTTCTGCCGTAATGCAAAGACCGACATATTGACAATTTTCGTCTGAGTCCAGTCCGTAGTTGTCGTCTTCGACCATGGTGCACATTGGGACGTAGTGCGTCCCCCAGGTGTCCCCGCTGTTCATCAGCTACAGTGATCAGCACAATTTGGTCTGGAACCATGTATGTAGGCATGGTAAAGAGGTCCTCTGGTGGAGTTGCCTCCAGCAGTTCCCTTTCCTCTTGTAGTTCTGCATGCCACACTTCCATGACATGTGACTCGAGATCAACCTCTGGTTCTTCGTGGATCGTAGAAAGCCGTCCATCATCATGTGGTAGTTCGGCTTCTGAGGCTTCTCTTGCGGTTCCCTCCGGTGTCAGTGTATCCACCAATTCCTCAAATCTTGCCATGTCCTGATCAAAACCTGCTTGGGGCCTAGTGGACTTCAAGCATTGGATAATTGTCGAATGTGCTGATCCAGATATATCGTGTATACTCAGTGCAATACCTTCTGCTTCATGATAATGAAACCCTTGATTCACGTCGTTGTCATAGTGGATCAATGCGCAGCAGTCAGCACAAGTAACCGGAGGTAACTTATGAATACTCTTGGCTAGCCTGACTGTAACTACATTCTCAATGCGGAATAAGTTTCTGGTAAGGTAGTGTAAAGCTAGATGTGCCTTAGGAGATAGACGGCTTGCACTCGTCATCTGAGGCGCGCCTTTCTTGGTCGGTCTCCCCGCTGATAAACTGGCCACGGATGTCAACACTGTGCGTAGTGCCGTCGTGTTGAAGCCAATCTCTCGGGCTATCAGTGCCCAACATATAGCGAATGTCTTACATCGCCGTATTGTACATGAACATCTCGATTGCCCACTCGGATGATGACTTGACCCCTTTCGGGATCATTCTTTACAGCCGGGAATGGGGCATTCCAACCTCCCCAGTCATCCTTCGCGATCGTGGGGCGGTGATAATCGACCAAGTCTCCTTCATCGTAATAATGCGGGCCAGTAATAGTCGTCTTAGTGCGTAAGGCACGACTGGTCTTAGCTACTGCTGTGGCCTGTGTGATAGCTTCAATACATGCCCTGCGTATCGCGTGCTCACGAGAATGGTCCGGCGTTTCCGTCGGCTGCTCGTGGTCCAGGACAGGTAGGTCAGGAAGCATTGCTGGTTGCCGCCCAAACAGAGCGCTATATGGAGACACTTCACTGTAGAAGGTGAACGCGTTGGCGGCGAATCAAGCCTCGTGCAGTAGCCGTGTGAACACAAGAGGTATGTCCACCCTATTGAGTTCAGCTTCCATGACGTGAAGCAGATGGCGCAGGATGCCACTCCTGGCTTCGATCGTCGCAGCGTGCTGTCCATGCGCACGTATCCTAAGTTAAGTGCCTTTTGCCTTGAAGACTGCTTTCGCAGTGTCATTGTTAAGGGCACCCTCTCCGTCGGAGTAGAATACCTTCGCAGGTCCAAACTGCATCCAGCACTGATAAGATGCATCCAGGACACTTGTCCGTCTTGTCTGGTATTTCAATCCCAGTAGCATATGGTATACAGCGATCGATGATATGGAAGATGTTGTGTTCTTGTTTGTGAAACATCAGAACACATGCCACTTCTGCATTGCATTTGCCAGGCAGTGCGGTGGAGGGCATAACAGCATGCCCAGGCTTGTCCCATGCTCTGCACTCCCAACATGTGTCGCAGACACCTGTGATCAGGTTGAGTCTGACATTGTCCAGACCTATCTTGCTTAAGATGAGTGTCGTCAGAAACTTCTTTCGCATGGAACCAGCGCAAGTGTAACTTCCGCAACTCGCGCGTTACCGCGCTGGGGTCAAGGCTTCGTAAATGTTGTAGACTGATTTGTACGTCGAACCGTGACCAGTCTGGTAATCGTGGTCGCGCAGCAGGGTTGCCCGCTGGTGGTGGGGGAAGTGCTTCTCCACCTTGCTGTCGACCACGTCTGACTCTAACCTGTGGTAGTCGGAGATGGCCATCCAAACTACCAGCTCCGCTCGAGGCAGGTTGCCCTGCAGCAGGTTCAGCAGCATGTCTGCCTACAGTAATGTCGTGACTGGTCGCGCCCGCTGTAGGTCCAGCCCTTGAGCTGGGTCTTGGTGCTCTTAGCCGCGTGAATGGTGATGCGGCTGGCGCCTCGGGTGGTGGTGCTGCTGGCTCAGCAGGAGCTGGCGGTGCAGGTCCTGCTGCCGGTTCGGCAGGAACCGGCGGTACCTGTCCATGATTGTCGGACAGCTTCCAGGGCTTGGCAAACTTGCATTTGCTAGGTGTCAGCACGTGCCCAGGCATGTTCTTACCGTGGTTCTTCTCACGGCTCGGACATTCTCAATGGTAGTCGCCCATATCGCACCACCTGCAATGTCTCGGATTTCTGTCATGTGGGGGAAAACGCACGTCAACATTATCCGCGCATGCGGGGCGCCCGAGCCCCCCCGAGGGTGGTCTCG